AAACATATTAATATTTTCCACCAAGAAAAGTTTCGAATTTAATGGAACATTTACATGACCTATAAAAGTATAGTATATTTCAACTTCAATTTTCATAAATTGGCCTAAATTCGCCCATTCTAATTTTAACAGATATTAATTAATAAATGACTAAGGATTATAATAAACTAAGTCATTTTAGGGTTAAAGAGGGTTAAGTATTCGAAAAATGAATCCAAAATCTGAGTATTTTTCAGTTTTACACTGACTTAGCTATATAGTCGAACCAGTCAATCTTTAGACAAAATTATAATAAACACAGAAGTAATTTTAACATAAATATTTTACGGAATCCGTTCCTGAAATATACAAATAATAACATGCCAAAAGCCCGAAAAAAATCTAATCAGGTGCGTCAGCCACCTTGAAATTCAAAATGGCGGCCGATGATTTTGGGAAAAAAATGGCACCTAACTTTTTTGAATTCAGCGCAGTAAAAATGATAAAATTAGTCAATAAAATCTATTTTTGCTCAAAAATCTATCTGGATTACATAGAAAACTAGCTTATATAATCGTTCTTATTTTATGTACATTTTAAGTAAGTATATTTTGCGATTATTTTTAAACAAATAAACACCTATTTTTTGGCTTGAGTGACATTAGTTTTTATATGTCTAGTTTGTTGCCTGTCTAGAAATTATGAGTTTAGACACCAAAATCATATCTGTAGCTTATTCAGTTTCAATTGTATGCACATTTTAGATTAATTTGGCGGCCATTTTTCAAAATGGCCGCCATTTGTATACAAGGAGTAAAATCAAGTGTCAACAGGGCTTAGGGTGACCAGAAGGGATTCATTAGGATATCTGGCTATGTGGATTGCTTCTAACATTCCACTCTCCCTAACTCATTTTTTTCAGATCTACGGGGCATGTATTCTGTTGAAAACACTGCTTTGCCAAAACTAATTTTTGAAAGTGCCATTTCCAGGAATCTAGAGGTATTGCTCACCTCAACCCCAACCACTGGTGAGTGGATATTTTTGTGGTGGGGTCATTTCTAGTGGCAGGGTAGGAAACCTCGGAGTGCAAGTTTTTTTTTGTTTTTGTTTTTGTTTTTTTTTATCTCTCCAAAAAAAAAAAAAAAAAAAAAAAAAAAAAAAACTTAAAATGGAGAAGAAAAGAAATGAAAAGTATATTCAGATATAATTCTGAGAGTGCCATTTGCGACCATCTAGCGGTGCCATAATCATAATTTTATGCACCTCAGCCCCAACCATGGTGGAGCTGAGGTGGTTCATTTTCTTCCCTGGCCCATTCCATTTCGAATCCACCACTATAAATGAAAATGGGTGGGGGCCAACATAGACAAAATGGAAGTACACAATTTATGTCGGCCCGCAGCTGGTCTCAACAGATTGGAACTGGCCTCAGATGTGTATAAGAGACAGGTTGAATACCCGGGTTGTAGGGCATTGGCCAAAAATAAAAATAAATTCATATGATGATGATGATGAAAATGATGATGAGTTCCGACAAATTTGTTTTTGTTTACACAAAGTTGTCAGGTCCTCCCGATATAAAACCTAAAAAAAAAACTGTAGGCCTAGGTTCCTCGCGATACCGAAATAAGCGTAGAGCGGAATATACTGTAGAAATAGCATCCTCAGCCAGCCTTTAGACGTCCTTTGAAATCGATAGTGCAATATAAGTATGTATTTTTATTATTTTATTATTATAGGCCTATTTCTGAAAAAAAAGTGGTTTTTACTGTAAGTGCTTGACAGAAATTAGTATGGCGCCACCAAACATGTATCGCTAGTTGAACTTTACTTATGAACTTACTTGACACCAAAGAGTATAATGTTGACACCTACAAACGCAGTAGGAAAGTTGGACAAGAGCAAGACGGAAGTCTACGTACGCTGAGAGAACATTTTTCTTCGTTATTATATTCCATTTTTTTTGGATTTTATTGTAGTATTATCAAACCAAAGACGAGCTGAAAAGTAAGTAATCAATTATGTTTTAAATTTTGGATTGTTTAGAGAATGTTGCAACTTGTATTTCGTACTGTTCAAGTGTACCAGGCGAATACCAGGCCTTCCTCCTACGTACTAGGCCTACTGTAGGCTACACTGTGTAGGCCAACTTGGTATAAGTACATACAGTTAGTTACTATTTTGATTACAATCATCATTGACATTGCTGATTCTTCTTTAGCTACTCCATAACCACAAATTCACGGTGAGTAGGCCCGAACTCTGAAATTCCAAAGTACATCAGTATACTCAGACTGTGAACATCCACTTTATGAGATTAAAGAAATTAAAGTTTAATTGAAGATTGTGTTGAAAAAAAGTGCAAATAGGCTTATCTAAAATCAAGTAACAGTAACAGTACAGTAGTAATAAAGCTATATTTTAAAATGTGATAATCAAAATAGGTCAGACGATAAAACTGAGTTCAAATGTTTTGGATAGGAGTCCTTTAATCCATTAAAAAAAAAGGAGTCCTCTAATCCATTAAAAAAAAAAAAAAAAAGGCAGCACCTCATCAAAAACCAGTGGCGTAGCTAGGGGTTTTGGCACCCAGGGAAAGAGTAGAAAATTGCGCCCCCTTAATTTTAATTATAATATTGTGAAATAAATAGATATTGGTTGTATAGGCTTTTAAGCATATATCCGTACCATGCACTGAAAAATAAGCATACTGTCTGAATAAGATTTTATTTAAACCTGTATAACTATATTATCAATCTTTTATAGATAGTAGGTTCTTTCTTACTATTGAAACTGCATTACGATGTTTGCAACTTTGTATGCAACTTTACCATTATCCTAAGTTGTAAGGCTGTTGTATTTATCGCATACAGCTTAGTATTCTTATTCTCTGAATTTATTTTATAGTAGAGTCTTGTAAGTTGCTGAATTAATAACATTGTTTAAATTCGCAAATGCATTTTGCATGCATTTGCATCAGCAAATAAGTTAATAACATGATCAAAGTTAATGTTGTCAGCTTCATCGCGTTCAATACTAAGGAGTGCCAAAGCAGATAGTCTCGCTTGTCCCATCTTGGCTGCGAGATACGGCAGAATGAACTTTAGCTTGCTGAATGAGCACTCACAACTAGCGATTGAAATAGCTACTGTCAACATGATTTAAATAAAAACAACTACATTCACATTCTTATTTACTGTAACTGGAAAATATTCATGCCTGACGACATACATCAATTTCGTCATGTTTTTCTAAAATGTGCTTATTTTTTTTTTCTCATTCTCCCATTTCAGCACCCCGCAAACCCGGTGCCCGTGGCACGTGCCCACCCTTGACCCCCCAAGCTACGCCACTGTCAAAAACACACTCTTGCTGATTGGTCCCTTGTTGGGTGATGTGCCATATCCCACCATCAATCTCCTCTAATCAAGACTCAAAATATGTATGGAAAAAAATGTATCGGCTTCTCCGCAAAGGAAGTTACTCAGCTAACAATATTATGTATAAATAAGAACATTATAATAACGTTTCAGTTTGGTAATAAAAATGTTATTTTGTAGAACTATTTCACAACATCACAACGTTTGAACATGCTTACAATTTTGTGTGAACGTTATCTTTTGACATACCAAACCACAACGTTCGCGAATGTTATAAGAACGTTTTGTGTTTGCTGGGTGTGTACTTTTTTCACCCCTGTCTCTCTGTCTGTTTGCAAGATTACAAAAAAACTAAGGAATAGACCATTATGCAATTTTAGTCGAATGGTACATAATAATTTAAAGAAAAATGTTTAATTTTGGGAGAGAAGGTCAAAGGACAAGGTCAGGGTCACCAAAATTCAATTTTTTTCCTTGAAATTTACCCTCATGTATAAAAAAAAAATAATGGAATCACCCACACACGGCCTGCGTATTTGCTTGGTATCCAGACACAGGCCGGGGGTAAGCACTCTTAGTATGGAGTGACTGCTCTAGAATATTTTTATTTTGTCCCCGGTTATCATACTTCTTTACATTATCATTCTCTGCAATTCATTGCTCACACCGCCACACAACACCTATTAAAAAGAGGTTATGCACAGTGCCGGAAGATGATGATCATGATGATGAATCAAAGTATGTTTGTGTTAGGTCGTAAAAAACATGTTTCAATATGTGCTATTTTTCTTACCGATTTGGAATTTTGTGTGTTAAGGAACACAATAGTGCCTGACAACCAAAAAATATATTAATTTCTGTGTTTAATGATTTTCCAAGAATTTGGGATTATGTCCCTATACTGTACTGAGGTTAAAGGACATTTACTTTTCAATATTAATTTATTCCATGTAAATTTATTTAAATAATTTATGAGTGAAAGAGCTGGCTACGTTACAGTAATCTAAAATATACATTCTTAATTTTTTTTAATTTTTTTAATTTTTTTTTATTTTAATTTTTTTAAATTTTATGAACTTTTTTTTAGAGCCGCCTGACAGTAATTAATTTTACTTTTTTGGTATGTCCTATCATGTTGATGTATAATTCTTCTTGTTTTTCTTAACAATGAAATAAAAAAAAAATGAAATTTATGATTTTTACAAACTAACACAAATTACATTGTCTATTCGTGGTGGGAAACAAATAAGCATACTACAACTTATACTGATTATGAGCAGTGCAATTTATGCCCGCTCTCACATGGGGAAGTAGAGGAGCCGGTGTCTCTAGTCAAAATTCATTGCTTGTGCTCCTCTCGAAGCCCACCTTTGTTTTTATTTTCACCAAAAATTTTTTTTGCAAAGAGATATCATAAAATGCAGCGGCAGGCCATTTAAGATAATTAATAGATTGATGTATACCAACTATTACTTACAGTTACAGCTTTTTATAATATAATTCTAAAAATTTCTTCTATTTTTCTTTTTGTAGACATGTACATATATAAATTATTTCTGGTTTCCATTGTAGTCAGCATTTTGTCAGTAACAACAGCACAAAGTAAGTTGAAAATAAGGTGATAAACTTGTTGTTCACTTTTCAGGATATGTCAGTGGGGACTAAATGTGATTAGATGAGACCCATTGAAGATCATTTAAATGGACAGTCATAAGAATTTTTCTAATTTATTAGTATGGTTCCATGTAAAGTACACCGGGAGACAATCCCCTTTTCTTTCCCAAAGAGTGTACTGTGTTCTTTAACGTGCACGTGGGCCATAAATGTACACGGGACCAACGGCTTAAACGTCTCATCTGAAAGACAGTGCGCAATTGTAACTTGTATTTCAGCCCTCTAGCTGAAACACAAGGAGCAGCGATGGGAATTGTACTGGGGACCTAGAAATCTCCACGGTTCAACGCACACACATTGGCTACATCCAGATTAGCCAACTGAGCTAAGCTGCTCTCACTCATTGAATAATTTATTGACAGAAACAATAAAGTGTAATTACCACATGGCACTAATTTTCTTGCACATATTATTATTATTATTATTATTATTATTATTATTACAGTACCTTTTTTGGAATCATGGAATCAAAAATCATATTTTTATTTTAATTTAGGTTCAGTTTGTCAACAAGCCAAGACATGTTCAGAATGTATTCAGGTTGATCCTGAGTGTGCCTGGTGTTCAAATACTGTGAGTCAATCCTTTTGAAGCTCTGTTCATCAAATTTTATGAAACAAATTTGTGTGTGCTCATGTATGGCCATGATAATGTCATATTACACCTAAATATGGGCATATTACATTTATTTGTCACATAAAATTTGATAGAGCTTAAATCTATTTAAAATCGTTTTAATTGATATTCTTTCATTTGATGATGTTCTTATTTCTTGGCCAATTTCAGACTCAAAGTGTTCTTATTTTACACACTTTTCTAAGATACAAAATTAATTTTTTATAGCAGTACTATATATTACTGTACTTTATTATAGAGGGTATTACATAGTCAGACCCACTGCACATAAGGTACAACTAAGATATGTTGGTATTTCATTTTTTAGAAGTAAAAACTTCATTTGGCATTTTACCTTACCTTATTTTTTTGCGTAAATTTCAGCCTCAGTGTTCTTGTGGTGTTATAAAAAAATTGTATTGCCTACACAGTTTGGTGCTACTAATTTTGTATCTTTGTGAATTTATAATATCACTAAATAGCAGTTTCTATATATGTCACATTTTCGATTACAGTAAATGATTTATTTAAATACTTGTTTAAAGCATCTTGAGAAGGTAAAAGTTAATTCATTAAAGATATAAGGTTGGACCATGGTTGTGTCTCATTGAATGCATTTGTATGCCATCTCGACTCCCTGATTTGTGGTCAATCAGATGGTGACTAATTGATGATGATAAGGAAGACTTTATGAAAGTATAAAATGAAAACTGAAAGCTAAAACACATGAATGTAATAGATATTCCCACAAACAGACGATTTCCTCAATTCTGTGGTTGTGTAGGTGGAGGAGGTGAGTATGAAAAAGTGGTGTTTACAGTCTGCTGTGGTTTTGTGCAAGGTGTTGGTTGCTAGGCAGTTTGTGGTGAAGCTGTAGTTTGTGGTATGACATGTCTGTCATTTGACCTTGCCTTCAAAGGTCATTGCAGGTGTTCCTACAGTATGATCTCAGACAATGG